CATTTTGTATTTAAGCACGAAGTCTGTAGCTGCTACTAAGTAGATATTATTCCATTAACTGATATCTGTGACATTCCAAGGTGAACTTTAAAATATGGACTACTAATATCTGTGACATTCCAAGGTGAACTTTAAAATATGGACTTGATTAATAAGAAGAAACTCGACTGGAGAAAGAAACGAACACAAAATTTACAACAAAAGCTGTTTATTTACCAGCGTGTTAGTCTAACGGCGTTAGCACTGACTTCTCTGTACAAGAAGATCTGGTTACCTTAGCTTCTCTGAAGAGTGAAATAATCACCATCTAAACAGAAGGGTGAGCAAGAGATCGATTTATTCTTCCAGAACTCTGTGCCATAAGCCTCATCTGACCGAACAATGGGCAGTTTCTTTCCACTTACGTAAAAGGTCTGTTACTGACCCACAACAGTCAGGTTCAAGGACACAAATGTTTCAGCACTGACCTGTAATGTTAAGGGGTCCGTAGGGTCATGTTTAACAGCCTATAACTGAAGGTCCAGTTTAACTTGAACTTCTAGAGTCAATCACCTACACCAAGTTTTAAACAAACTGCTATAGGAAAAATGGAGTCAGTTTCTAAGTTACAACCGACCTAAAAAAGTGATCTTCTGACTTGTCGATTTGCACATACAAAATGTGTGAACCTTATGCTATTCAATATATTTTTAAACAAAATGACTATGTTTTGTGAAAATAAGAAAAAAAAGGTAATTAGAAACCAGTAAATGTAGATATAAATTAAATGTAATCAAATAAATTTCAGTGTTTGTAACAAATTTGTTTGTTTTAGAGTAAAGCCATATTGGGTTGTCTGCTGTGTCCACTGCGGGTAATCGTACCTCGGATTTTAACGTTGTAAACTCGTAACTTACCCCTGTCCCACCTAGTGACATTCATACCAGGCACAATGACATAATGTAAGATACGAGTACTTTCTGAGGAAAACAAATTGATTTTTGTATACCAAAAGAGGGCGCCACATGTTTGCCCTTCTTCTTCTAGCACTACACAGAAGATTCATAAAAATAAGTTCAATGACAAAACAAAATTTAGAAGAACTTTCTTCTTAAAATGATATTTTAGCTGTATGATACTCGAAATAATTAGTCTTACGAAATACTAAAATGTAATGATTATTTGAAACATGTTGATTAAAAATTATGATCACAAGAAACAGTGTTGTCACACTCTTTTGTAGATTTATGTGATTTAAGTTTATAAGTTCATTTACAATATTTATTAAAGTTGGATCATGTCTTCCGAGTGTTTTGTTTGATATACGAAATTCAATGATTGTGTGATATGTTTCCATCATTACTATTAATATGGAAACTTCTAAACATTTTTTCGTTTAGTCTGCTCCCATGAAGTTTAGGTATAAACTCGTGGTCCAGAAAACCTTTGAAATAGTTTGTTTCTAGTTGCCTTTGTTTATTATAACAAGTAATACCTACTCCACCTGAGGAAAGATGCAGTGATGTCGCATTCACGGGTCGAAAGGTTCAATGACTGTAACGTCCTTTGGTGGCCGAGTGGATGATGTCTGTATGTAACAGCCGAAGAATGTTGTTGGAGAATGACCAGCCAGGTGGTGACGCTATTGTAAGAGAAAGGATACGAGATTTCTTATTACATCGTAACTTATATTCTTTCAAAGTACTACTTGGTCATCGTGGTGTTAAGTTGGAGAGAGAGACCTGTCTTGAGGTGAAGAGAGCTACAGACCCGTTCACAGCTCTAGTATAGGCAATCACCCTTTTGTCTCTGCAAGTGTGCACAGTTTATTGTCATTGTTGTGTCCTTGATAACGATTTTCACATATCACCAAACGTGTCCAATCTATATATTTCTCACACAGTTTAAAACTACGTCGAGTTTTCAAATTTACACTACTCTGTAAATTTCCTGTTCAAACTTCACATTATTAAATGCACCTATCTGCTACTTGCGATGCATTCAGTTCACCACAACTAGTCCTTCTGATGTATTCTTCTCATGTTACATTTCTTCATTCTATCCCTTCCAGTTAGTTCTTGATGTTGTATATCCATGTAATTTTCTCCTTCCATGTTTGATCCATCATAACCTCACTTGTGGTCAGTACTAAGCTTGTTTATATCTCGTTTCCGGATATGTAGTGTAGTTATAACCACGGAGTGAGTTGCTATCTCATAACTACACTACATATCCACCACGGAGTGAGTTACTATCTCATAACTACACTACATATCCACCACGGAGTGAGTTGCTATCTC